TCTATCTGAAAAGAAGGGAAACATATGTATGACACTCCCAGAATGAAAACTATGCTACAAAGCGATAATAATCAAACCTGCATGGTACTAGAGCAAAAGCAGACACACAGACCAATGAAATGGAATAGAAAACCCAGAAATATACCCACATATTTACAAGCAACTAATGTTTGACAAAATAGTAAAGAATATGCAATTGAACAATGAAAGTTTGTTCAATAAATGGTGCAGGGAAAACTGAGTTGCTACACGCAAAAAATGAAGCTAGTTTATTACCACACCATGCACATAAACCAACTCCAAATGGATTAAAGAACTAGACATAATACCTGAAACCACAAGATATTTAGAATTTAATATATTTGAAACACTGCATGACATATACCTCATTAACATCTTTAAAGACATATCACCCAATGTAAAGATAATGAGATAAAGGATAAATGCCTGGGACTACATCAAACTGAAAATCTTCGGTATGTCAAAAGAGACACTAATCAAAACAAAGAGATACCTTACTGATCATGAGAAAATTTGTGTACTCCATACAACTGATAAGGGTCTAATCACAAAGATATACAAAGAGCTGACATGACTCAACAAAACCAAAGTAGACAATCCAGTCAAAAAAAAAGGGGGGGGGAGACAAAATAAATAGAAAATTCTGCCAATAGGATTTGCAAACATGCATACGAAAAAAAAATGTTCAACATCATATGTAACTGAGGAAATGCAAATCAAAACCACAATGAGATACTATCTCACACCAGTGAGAATGACACACACTGAAGAAAAAAAAAGAACTAGCAACAGCAAGTATTGGTGAAGATGTGGAGAAAATGTAATACATTTAGAATGTGGGTGTGGTAACAATGCTATAGAAAGGGCCACTTGAAGATGAGGAAGAGAGGTGTTGGGAAAAGACTGGTACACCAAACAGTACTGCAGAGTGGAGGGAGGGATCATTTTAAGCAAGGGACATTTCAGTTTGTATTGCTGAGGAATGATATAGAGGAAGGGGTTGTATGAAGAGGTACTGTACAATGGAGGGAGGAGGCCTGTTGGGAATAGGTTGGATATGCTAGTGGTACAGTAAGAAAACATGGAGATAGATCTGCTGCTCTGAGAACATTTATGGGACTGAAGTGTAGCATTTATGGGACTGAAGTGTTCAATATATCCAGTCCACCAAAGTGTATGCCTGCACAGAGCTCCAGAAATACATCTGGTTAGTGTTTCAGTAGGGGGCATACATAAAGTAAAGGAATAGATCTTAGAACTGACTCACAGTTGCTTGGAGGCCAAAGGAGCTGGATCTTGTAAGTAAGAGCACTTGGGATTTTTAGGTGTGAGAACGCAGTAGATGAAGGGTTTGGGACCCAGGAATTGATGAAGTAAATGCTCCTTAAGAATATGCAGGATGGACCCTCCCTGGTGGTGCAGCAGGTTAAAGCACAGCACTAAGAAGCTAAAAGCCACTTCAGCATGAGTACAATCCCTGCTCTGGAGATGACCCACATGGTGCAGCAGACCTCTCCTGGCCCTCCCGCTGCTCCCCTCAGCAGTGTACCTCGTCAGTCTGCCTAATCTGGCTCCCCACTCTGTCTCTGGTGAATCCTTTCACGGCCCCTGCACCTCTGGCCTGTACCCCAGTTATGTATGCAAAAATAAATCTTTAAAAATTAAGAATATGCAGGATAGTCTAATTGAAACAGGAGTTCTGCAGCCCTGGTGTAAACTTGGCATGGCAGCTTGGCTGCTACCCATTGCCTCAGTGCATCACACCCAAGCTGTCCTCAGGCCAGGATTGTGGGTTCCAATGGTGGTGGTGTTGTTGCCTGGCCCTGCCACAGCTCAAGCTAACACTGGACCTCTGGCAGCAAGACCTGTCCTGGCTTGGCATGAGCCATAGGAGAGAGGCCCGTGGAGCATTGGACCCGTGGGCTCCAAGTGGTGTTCTGCACTCTGCTCTGCTCAGGAGCCCGTTTGCTACACCCAGTGCTCCTGAAGCATACTGGGCAAAGCAAGCATCCTGCCCCCACTGAAACTGGCTCTGTCCTCAGCTCCCCCCAGTACACTGCTAATGAGCCTTTTTTTAAAAAAAATAAATAATATAATAGTTTATTTTTACATCTCAGTTGTAATCCCCATGGGCTTCCCATCACCAAATCACCCATGTGCCATCACCATAGTCCAGTGCATTTCCTTCCCCACACTGTTTTTGATCCCATTCCCCACTCCACCCCCATGAAATTTCTCTGGTCTGTAGCTGTTCATTTTATTATTTTCTCGCCTGGTCCTGCTATGAGTGAAATCATCGGTATTTTTCCTTTTCTTTCTGGCTTATTTCACTAAGCATGATCTTTTCCAGGTCCATCCACGTTGCTGCAAAAGACATGTGTTTCTCTTTTTTGGTTGCTGAGTCATATTCTATTGTTATATGTACCACATCTTTCTAATCCAGTCATCTACTTTTGGGCATTTGGGCTGCTTCCATGTCTTTCCAATTGTAAATAAAGCAGCAATAAACATGGGGGTGCAGGTATCTTTTTTAATCAATATTTTGTGTCTTTTGGGTAGATACCTAGGAGTGGGATTGCTGGGTCATATGGAAACTCCCTGTTTAGCAGTTTGAGGAACTTCCAAACAGTTTTTCTATAGTGGTTATACTAGTTTGCATTCCCACCAGCAGTGCGGGAGAGTTCCTTTTTCTCCACATCCTCTCCAGTATTTGTTGTTGCTAGTTGTTTGAAGATGTGCCATTCTCACTGGAGTGAGGTCGAATCTCATTGTGGTTTTAATTTGCATCTTCCTTATTACAAGTGATGTTGAACATTTTTTTTTTATATGCCTGTTGGCCATCTGCATTTCCTCTTTGGAAAAATGGCATTTTAGCTCTTCTGACAATTTTTTGATAGGGTTGTTTTCTTTATATTAGTTGTGTTTCATTAGTTCTCTGTATATCTTTGTGATCAATCCTTTATCACTACTTTTGTGTGAGAATTTTTTTTTCCCAATCAGTGGGATGTCTGTTTGTTTTTGTAATGTCTCTTTCGCTGTACAGAAGCTCTTTAACTTGATGTAGTCCCATCTATTTATCCTTGCCTTCACTATCGTTGCACTGGGTGCTGTATCTTCACTTCATGTTGCTGAAGTGTATGTTGTGTAGTGTTTCACCCATCTTTGTTTTCAGGTATTTTATGGTTTCCATTCTTATGTCTAGGTCTTTAATCCACTTCGAGTTGATTTTTGTGTATGGTGCGAGGTAGTGATCTAGCTTCATTTTTTTTGGCATGTTGCTTCCCAGTTTTTTAAGCACGTTTGCTGAACAAACGTTCTTTGTTCCATTGTATCATCTTTGATCCTTTGTAAAAGATTAGCTGCCCATAAACCTGTGGGTTTATATCTGGGTTTTCTAGTCAGATTTACTGGTCTGTATGTCTGTTCCTGTTCCAATACCATGCAATTTTGATTATTATGTCTTTGTAGTGTATTTTGAAGTTTGGGATTGTAATGCCTTCATTCTCTTTCTTCTTAGTCATGAGAGTTTTGGCTATTCGAAGTCTTTTGTTGTTCCATATGAGTCTCATCAACATTTGCTCTATTACTTTGCAGAATGTCATAGAGACTTTTATTTGGATGGTGTTAAATCTGTATATCTCTTTTGGTAGGATGGTCATTTTGATGATGTTAATTCTCCCAATCCATGAGCAGGGGATGTCTTTCCATTTCATGGTGTCTTCTTGTCTTCTTGTATTTCTTTTAACAGTGTTTTGTAATTTTCTTTGTATAGGTCTTTTACCTACTTTGTTAGGTTGATTCCCAGGTATTTGATTCTTTTTGTTTTAATTGAAAAGGGAATTTTTTTTTTAATCTCTGCTTCTTCTGATTGGTTGTTTGTGTATAGGAAAGCCTCTGACTTTTGTGTGTTGATTTTATATCCTGCTACCTTGCTAAACTGGTTGATGGTTTTGATTAATTTCTCTGTGGAGTTTTTGGGGGTTCCATGTAAATTAACTTATTGTCTGCAAATAAGGACAGTTTTACTTCTTTCCGTATTTGGATTCCTTGTATGTCTTTTTCCTGTCTTATTGCTCTGGCTAGACCTTCCAATGTTACTTTGAAGAGCAGTGACTATAGTGGACACCCTTGTCTTGTTCCTGATCTCAAAGGAAAGGCTTTCAGCTTTTCTCTGTTGAGGATAATATTGGCTGTGGGTTTGTCATATATGGCTTTTATCATGTTGAGGCATGTTCCTTCTATTCTGAGGATTTTGAGGGCCTTAAACATAAATGGGTGTTGGACTTTGCTGAATGCTTTTTCCGCATCTATTGATATGATTATGTGGTTTTTATTCTTCTGTCAGTTGATGTGATGGATTACATTAATTGATTTTCTGATGTTAAACCATCCTTGTGCTCCTGGGATAAAGCCCACTTGGTCATGGTGTATTATTATTTTAATGCATTGTTGGATTCTGTTGGCTAAGATTTTGTTTAGGATTTTTGTGTCAGTGTTCATTAGGGAGATTGGTCTGAAGTTCTTTCCTGACTTCAGTGTATGCCAGATCTGGACAGGAGGCCAGGGTTTCACTTTTAAATATGATGCTAGGTTTAGAAATGGACCAATCAATTTTGAGCTCTCAATGGATCAATTAATTTTGAGCTCTTTCTGGTGCCATTCAAGGGTTTTGAGTCTACAGAATACTGAAAATGGCCCAGTGTGATTGGCACTAATTTAACAGGATTGTAAAATGCTCTAATAAGACCTGAAAGGCCGAAATACTGAAGTGCTCATAAGCCAGAGCAGAAGCCAACTTGAATCATTGATCAGAGAACTTCAGAAGTGATGCATTGAACAGATGGCCTCAGACATTCACAGCCATTCATCAGATTTTGAGACCTCTGTAAACTTCCGGATCTCCACAGACTTCCAGAACTCTGAATACTTCCTGATTGCCACAGACTTCTGCAGAAACTGACTTCTTTACTTTCCTCTAGCCCTGACTCTGACATCATCTATTGAGAGAACCATCAGCCTGGACCCTGTGTCTCTAAAAGCTGGGCTGTGTCTTACTCAAACAGCTCTTCGAGAGCTGTAACTCTGATGTATCTGTATCTGACACCACTTCCTGCTGACCAGTGCTGCCCAGCACTGCTGATTGGAGTCCACCCACTTCAAAGAGTTATACACCATTTGTGATCATCTCACACTGCTTCCTTTAGCTTGTTGCATTTGGCACTGTTGCTTCAGCATCTGGTGTTGTCCAGCCTGACCTTCAGAATATTATTGTAGGCTACAGTGGTGTCACCTCAGTAACCTCAACTGTGATCACCTCCAGCTGACATTGTGAGTTGGATCCTGGTCCACCGCTTATCAGGGTGCCAGCAGCTCCGTACTCTCATTGAATGTGCACTTGTGTAGTATTCTCAGAATCTTAGAGCCCATTGATAGAGGCATACTGGGAATGTAAGCTAGAAAATGGCTGGAATGGGAGGAGGCTTCTACTTTCTTCTTCTACTTTTGTCTACTAGCCTGTCCCTGACTTCTCTTCCCCTGCTCCCCTAAAGAATCAGGAGAAATAGAGCTGAAAAATACCATTATAACTCCTGCATGTACTTGGAGTCCGGAACACAGTAGTGGTACCTGATTTTATTGACTGGAGATTATAGAGGCCTGGGGCAGGACATTCTAAGAGGTTTTCTGTTTTGCATTGACTGGATCTCTGATTAGGTTTATTGTACTAGGCTTATGGGAATTCTTCCATTCTCCCAGTAATCAGGGGAGGGAGGATGTGATTTCCCCATTTTACTGAATAGGAACCTAAAGGTCAAAAGTCTAAGATCCTTGTACAGTGTCACATAGAGTTTAAATCTTTGACTGAACAGAATTTTCCCATGTCTCAGGACTGCATGAGAATCTAGACTACAGTCTGAGATTATAATAGAAGCATCTCCATTAGAACAGGTTTGTTCCCTGTCCTACCTAATGAGGGATGGAACTGAGCAGTGAGGGTAGGGATACACAATGAAAGATGTGGGAAGAAGGGCCTGCTTTGAACTTTCTCTAGGGACTTGGGGGATTTGGAGAAGTCACGTGGAGTCAAGAAATAAAAGATCACTTGGAAGAGATATGTAGGTGTGAGACATGGGGGAGGCTGACAACAGCAGCCCTTAACATGATTTTTACTTCAGTTTTGCTTCTTTCATCCCGGATTTGCCTGCTCTCTTCTGCCCTTTCCGATGGTTCCCCTCCAGAAGGTGCCTTGGACTTGTGGCAAGATTTCAGCTTTCAGTCATCCTGCTTTGGGCCAACCCTGTTTGGTTAGGCATCCCATAAGAAACTGTATCCTTTCTCTTCCTTCTCTACGCATAATGATTCCATGATTCTATTAAATATCTTATACACTAAGAGTATGCTTTGTCTTTATAAGGTAGATGGCAGAGTCCATTTATATCCTACAAATCTTGGGGTCCCGGGTTGTCCCTCATTCTGCTCACTAACAAACTGCCTGGTGTGTTTGTTGCAGAGGGCTGCTGAATATAAATCTCTGTGTCCTATTATTCCCTTAGGAACAAGAATACACCCAAATTATGTTCTCAAGGTAATACTGATTTTCATTTTTATGAATGATAGCAAGATCAATGATCATCAGTGACTTGGCATACATTTGAATGGGTGGCCACCGTTGGAATTCCATGTGTTCATTTGTTGTTCCTGTCCTTTCTGGCCACCCCTTGTCATATGGGCGGTGCTGAAAAAGTGACAGCACCCCTGATATGATTGGGTTCTGTTTTCTTTTCCATACTGTACTTTGGTAGGAGAAGACAGTCTTAGGATTGCATTAGCCTGGTGGTCTGATGGAGCAGGTAGGGGATGAAAGACTGGATGGAGAGTATAGGGTGAATGAAGAAATGGTCTTGATTTCTCTGCCTTCATGCTACCCCACATTCTGTGTTTTCTGAGTTGAGATATAATATAAACCTTTAGGCTATCCCTGACAAAGAACCACCTGCCTTTAATTGTTTACTTCTAGTGAGTGTGTATTCACTCTTTTCTGACCCCCATGAGATAGCCTCATGTGCTGGGGAGACTAAGTTGAGAAATGTCTCTATACTCATCTGGGTAGTTCTGATGTCTGTTTCCCCCCAAATGCTAGTGTCAGAGTGAAGCACTCGCTCTTTTGGGGAGTGAAGAAGTTCATCACATATGAATTTATGAAACAGAAACAAGTGGAGTTTTGAGAATGTGTCAAGTCCTTGAGTGTTCCGTGTATACTTGTCTGATTCAGAAAGTGCATGATTATCCTTTTACATAGGTATAGACAGGCATCTTGTTCCCTAGGACTGAATTCTGTTACACAATTCCCATTGGTGAAACATTCCAAGACAGGTCTAGAACAAGCGGGAGGCTCTTGTGGTAGGGTGTGCTGAGATCACGGTGCTTGAACAATTGCTACTGTTTATAACACATCCAACAGGATACATTGGCCTTCCTATGATACATACTTGTGTACTATACATGTTTTCTCTGCAACATCAAGTAATTTCTTCACACATTGCCAATGGGAAATGGCTCGATAATGGAGGCCAAAACCATGAAGTGTGTGTTTGGGATTGAGTCTGGGGTAGAAGGTCTTAGAAATTCTTCTCCAGGAGTTATGTTTAGTATTTGTTTGAAGGAGGTTGCCACATGGCGCTCAATTTATTTCCTTTTTTCTGAGTTGAATATAAGAGTGTCCCCAAGAGCAGACAACCACTCAGGCAGGGCTTGCACTCCTATCATGAAACCAGCAAAGTGCAAATATTCAAGTTTTTCTTCAGGGTAATAGAAGAGCTGCCCTACCTTGGCATGCTAAGAGTACAAGAGTATGCTTGATTGGTACAGCCTCTGTGGAGGGATGGGCAGGTATAGATCAGCTACAGTTCATATATAAATATATGGAACTTTAGTTTTGTCCCAGAATACTTCACATAAATTTTATATTATATCATTAATTCTTCATACTTTCTATTAGTCTGCTTGGAATGTCATAGCAAAAGAAAAAAAATCACTGGGGTGGTTTAAAGAAAATTTTTAGTCCTGGAGGCTAGAAATCTCAGATCAAGGTCTAGAAGGATGAATTTCTAGTGAAATCTTTCTTCTGGGTTTGCAAACAGACACCCTCTCACCATTTCCTCACGTGGTGTAGATAGAGCCTCTTGTTATAATTACTAATCCTACTGGGTCAGGGCCCCACCATTATGACCTCATTCTAACATTACCTCCATAAAGGCCCTATCTCTAAATGCTGTCTTGTGCATCAGTATAAGAATCTGGGGAAGAATATAAACACTCAATGCATAATACATGCACTATATTAGAAGACACTTAGGCTCAGTGAGGTTAAGTAAATTGTCTAAAGTCATAAAGCCTAAGTTACCAGAGATGAAATTAGGTCTCAGGACTGACCCATGATAGAGCCCTAATAACTACAAACTAAAAAATTACTTCTATTACTTTCATACAAAGTATAAATAGGTACATAATATATTATTGCAAGTGTTTTTTTTTTTTTTTTTTTTTGCAGTGATTATCATCCCAATTTCAGGTGCAGAAAAAAGGTTCCAACGACTGGACTGCTAATTTACAGGAGGCAGTGGAAATGGAGTCCAGCGTGCATCTGTGGTTATAGCTGAGATTGAGGCAAAAGCCCAAATGTGGATTGGAGAGGAAGCTGTGGCTGGGTCCTGGAATGTGGCTAACATATACATCAACTGCCTGGCAAGGTGAGTTAGGCGATGATGCTCAGGTCTGGGACATATTTTCATTAACAATCGAACCCAAGAAAATTCAGATACTAGCAACAACACTGATTTTAGCAGAGGAGGTAGCACGAGGATTAACTTCGGGGATGGCAGGGATTAGCCTCAATGCTGTCTACAGCTCCAGCAGTGGCAGAGCTGAGGGTTTTGGTGGCACCCCATCATCAGTGCCGGGTTCGGCAGTGCAGCCATCATTGCTTCGGTGGCATATCCGGCACTGGCTCAAGCTTCAGTGGTGGAGCTAGCCCTAACGTTTGTGGCATGCCCAGTGGTGCAGTCAGCATTAGTTCTAGTCTCAACAGGGAAGCCAACATAACTTTGTTGACATACTTTGGACAAGTGGCAATTTTGTGGTAGGGTCCGTGCTAGTTTCAGCAACCCACTCGACACCATGACTGATGGCACTGTTCTGGCTGTAGAGACATTCTGTACTACAACAGGCTTCAGCAGCACTAGCGTGGGCCAGGCAGACAGCACTAGTGTGGCTTTCATTGGTAGACTGAGCACCAGCACTGGCTGTGGTGGCATGCTCAGCCTCTGTGCCTGCTGTGGTGGCTCTCCTTGCTCCAGTGGCACCAGTGTCTGGCCTGGTGCTTCTCCTAGCACCACAACTAGTTTTGACAACATATTCAGCCACTCTTTTGGTGGCTCTCCTAACACCAGTGGTGACTTTGGCTGTATGCTGAGCACTGATATCTGTTTTGGTGGTTTTCCTAACATTAGTGCAGACACTCGCAATTGTTGGCTTTGGTGATACACTCACGACTGCTGATGTTAGCAGTGGCGTCAGTAGCACCAGCGTCAACAGCTCCAGCTCTGATGCATGCAGCACCAGTTCTGGCTTTGGCAGTGTGTTCAGCTGTTGAAAGCTTGCTACCTTAAAGGGAGCCAGAGTTCTCTGTGAGTACCTGTTTACTTTACATATGGAGTTCCAGGTAGTTAGAAGTTCTGCAAACAAGACTTCTTTCAGAGTTGACTCCTGTTTGCTGAGGATGGACTGTCTTGTGTGCATGTTCCTGATTAACCAGAAAAACTTGTTCTAGCAGTAGCTTATTAATTGGTATAAGCATAAACACAATTGCATGCTATTTTTTTTGTTTGTTCACCTATTTAATAAATTCTTGGGCTGGGAGAGTAAAAGACAGAGTTGCTGTTGATGGCCCACCCCCAGCTTCCTGCTGTTGCAAATTCATTTAGACTCTGATTCATAGCTGAGAACTTCGTAGGCTGTCCATGGCATTCAACACCAATGCTGACCACAGTGGGGGCACTCGGAGTCACTACTGACTTTTTTTTTAAGATTTATTTATTTGTGCTTATAGAATGAGGGTACAGGCCAGAGGCTCAGGGGTGGCAAGACAGAGTGGGAAGCAGAACAGGCAGATCGACGAAGTACACTGTTGAGGGGAGCAGCGGGCGAGTCAGGAGAGGTCTGCCACGCCATGTGGTCTCCTCCAGGGCAGGCGGGGATCGAACTCATGCGGAAGTGGCTTTAGCTTCTCAGTGCAGTGCTTTAACCCACTGTGCCACCAGGGAGGGCCCACTACTGACTTTTAACAAGCTCATAGCACCAGAATTGGAATTGGTGGAACTCACACACCAGTGTCTGTTTTGGTTGTGCTTCTAATAACAATTTATGTCTTAGCGCCACTACCTGCTCTGGCAGTACTACAAGGAGTTTTGGTAGTGAGTTAAGCACAAGCACTGGATCTGGTGGGAGTCACTGGTTCAGCTGAGTACCGGTGCTGGTTTTGCCAACACACTGGTGTTGGCTTTGCTGCTCTCAGCATCAGTGACGGTTTTGGAAGTGGGTCTAATACCAACTTCCAGAGAGGACTGGATGCCACCGCTGGCTTAGGCAGTGCTTTGAACACCAGCACTGGTTTTCCTGAAGAATGCAGCACCAGCGCCAGTTTCAATGGTGGAACCAGTTCTGTGTTGACTTTGGCAGTGGGCTAAGCACTTGCGCTAGCTCTGGAGGGAGAGCCCACCAGCTTCGGTCCCTGCTTCTCATATGATTGATGAGGTTTTTAGAAATTACAACATTTCCACAGAGAAGGTCAAGAGGATGGAGATAAGAGCTGGAAGACATTGTACAAAACCTAGAGGTAGGAAAGCAGAGTGGGCAGGAAGGGGCAAAGAAGCAAGCATGAGAAAGTATATTTGATGCTAAAGTATGTTCCTGTTTGGAGTTTTTTTCCAAGTTCAGTTCCCATGTTTACATATACTGTTAGTGAACTGCAGTGGTCCTTCCCATCAGCCAAAGACACATATCCTTGGAATCTTTGTCCGAAGAGCAGTCTAAGCAGCTACTACTACCAATCAGCTGAGGCTTGTGTGCTATGAAAAATGTTTGTTGATCCTGCTTTATTGTGTGATCATTTTGTATGCTATCATATTAAGGTATCAGAGTTATGTTAAATTTGTAAAATGGGCCCTCCCTGGTGGCGCAGCGGGTTAAAGCACAGCACAAAGAAACTTAAACCACTTCCACATGAGTTCGATTCCCGCCTGCCCGGAGGTGACCACATGGCGTGGCAGACCTCTCCTGACCAGCCCGCTGCTCCCCTCAGAGGTGTACTTCGTCGATCTGCCTGTTCTGCTCCCCATTCTGTCTCTGGTGAATCCTCTCACCCTCTGCATCTCTGACCTGTACCCCAGTTCTGTACAAATAAATAAATAAATCCTTAAAAAAAATTCTTAAAAAAAATTTGTAAAATGAATCGCAGCATTACCTATCTTTTAATGTGCTTAGGTTGTTATGAGTGATAATTTGGGTTCATAGAAGAGCTTTGGATCAGCATGGCTGTTTTCTGAAGGTTGGCTCCAGCTTTAGGCTAAAAGCTCCAGCTTTAGGCTTCTGTGGAGAGAAAGTTTGCGAGACAAGTGGATAACAGCTTGAACAGAATTATGGAGGGGGAAAGTCTGGAACAGAAAACAAAGGTTTATGGATAATAAGTATAGGTTCATATTGATATAAGAATGGAATAATAAAGTGGAAGATCATTAAAGTTATACAAGGGAACAAGGAAGGTTCTTTTTTTAAAGGTTTATTTATGTACGCATATAAGAATTGGGGTACAGGCCAGAGGTGCAGGGGGTAAGAGGATTGACTAGAGACAGAGTAGGGAGCAGAACAGGCAGATTGACTGAAATACAGACTATGAAAGCAAAATGCAAATGAAATGAGATAGGAGAAATGGAATAGTTACTAATTGACTGAAGTAACCCATCCTTGAGTAGGTGGGATGGAATAGAGTGCTAGAAAATAGAAGATGACCCTGACTTTGAACAGAATTTAAGAGTGACTATGGAAGCAGACAAATGTACATTTCCTTCAAGCAGTGGTCATCAATCTGTAGTAAAGCCCAAGAAAATGTGTTGTATATTATACAGCGTTTGGTCTTGCTGGATAGTTGTGATGGAAAGGCAAAGGAGAAAAAGCAACAAGTCTGTGAGCCTCTTTTTGCCACTGGTTTCTGGTATTTGCCTATAGTGCATGGTGAGTGGGAAGAGAGAATTCAGGATTCAAACTAGCTAAGGGATGGAAGAGCAACGAGGAAGGAAAGAACTGATAGATTGGGAGATGATGAAGGAATCAAAGGACCATACTTTGCAGTATATTATTCATTCACTACAAAAACAAATGTTGTTCATTCAGGAAATTCTACATATATCCTTACTGTACAGGAAGCACACTGCTAAGGGCCCTGTGAATGACATAGGAAGTTTTAAGGGCTGGAAGGCCAGCCTTTAGCTAGTTTAATGGGATGCTTGTAAGAAATCCAAATGGGGAAAAGTCTAGATAATGTCAATATTCATGGAGTGGGTAGTTGAAGGGGAGATGATCACTGTAGTTGAGGAACTGGTAGGTCAGACTATTGTTTGGATCATTTATATAGATGCTGAAATCATCCAGGACGGTAATCTTTCTTTTGGAGAAGAAAGGAACAATGTGGTCCAAGTACAGATTCTTCTCTGAGTATATGGATGAAAGAGTCCTTTCCTTAGTCATGTTGCACACCAAGGAACAAGGTTTATAGTCAATCACAGAGAGGTATCAGCCCCCTTGATTTTTGAATGTGCTATCCAAGAATTCTTCTTCACTACAAGAAGTCCCTCATTCATTCTACATCCCCAGAGCACCAAAGTCAATTTACAGGGTCAGTATCTTAAGAGTCTGTGGGTGAAGTTTCTTCTTATAGGAAATAAAAGAAGTCTTTATTGATCAGGTAATATGAATCAAGAAAGAAAAAGCTGTCTTCTAGAGCTTGACAGCTCCTTGATTGTAGCTAGAAATCTAGACTTGTTTTGGTGCTCTCAATGTTCTTTTTCACTAGAAGCAGGGCTCTCACAATGAGGCCACATCCAGAGCCTTCTCAAAGTAGAAGAGAAAGGAGAGAAACCTCTAGAAGTAGAAGACTCTGAGGACAAAGAAGTCTCCTCGAAAAGGCTCAGTAATGGGCAGGGACAGTATCCAGGGCTTCCTCAGGTTCTCGAGTGATGTCCACATTCTGAAATAACGGAGGCAGGATTAATAGGGAGGAGACAGAGATGTGGGGCCCAGCCCCTCCACTCTCCCTTGTCCTCACTATCAGATTATCCTCTTTCAGCCAGGCCTAGATCCTGACCCCTTTCCGTGCAAGCCCCCAGGGATCTCAGCCTGAGGCCTTTTGGGCAGAGGTTCCTCTAGCCTGTGTTTTCACAGTGCCTGGGGTCTGGGTATTTCTGAGTTCTGGTGCAAAGCCCCAAGCTCTGTGGGATTAGGGGAGCCTTCCCGTGAGGGCAGGGGCTGGGGCAGGGGCAGGGGCAGGTTTTTTTTACCATGTTCCACCTACCTCAGGCTTCTCCCGGTGTGTGTTTACGGCCTCCACATTCAGGTAGATGGACTCCACGTTGCAACCTCGGAAAAGAACAACCCGGCAATCCAGAAGCCCCTGAGGTGAGCACAGGTCTCCACAGAGGTGTCATTCCCTTTCCATCATCACTACCCCAACCCCTGCTCTGCCTGTGTGCAGATTGCCACTGCCCTGTCAGGGGACTTTACACTAGCTGTGTGATTTGGGGGCCCACTCCAGGCCTAAGAGAAGCCAACAAGGTGTCTCCCCAGCCCCACCCCTAATAACAGTCTCAGAGTTCTACAGATCTCAGTAGAGAATGCTCAGTAGGGAATGGGATAGAGATGAGCAGAGGCCTCCCCCAACTCTGTGGGCAGCGGGGCAGCAATCCAGTCAGTAAAATCCTGGAGCCTGGTGGATCTTCTGAGATACGTTAGGTGCCTGAGTGGTAGGTGAGTCCTAAGGCCACTGCCTTGGGGTGATGGGCCCCAGGCAACGTTTATTTGGAGGAAAATGCTGTTGTGGCAACACCAGAAGTGTGGAGGGTCACAAGGGAATTCTGGGGAGTCTCAAGAAGAAGGGTGGTATCATTGAGACCTGGATCTGCCAGAGGAGGCCTGTTACCTATGGAAACCCCCTTAGCTCCATCAATGTGCTTGGCTGCCTACTCCAGGCTGCAGGACATTGGCTGCCTGCTCATACCCAAGAAGAGATTTGATTTTTCTCTTGCTTGTTTATGAACATTTTATATATAACCAATAGCCTGAGAGAGTCTAAACTGCTCGGGTTGGTCTTTGAGACTTTCCTCAATCTGGCACCAGCCTATACCTATTCGTCTGGTTTCCCTTATAAACCTTGGAACTCTTGCTCAGTTCTTTGGCAGAAACAGAGAAAGTTGGAGCCAGACTCTGGATCTAGAGTATTCAGTCCTTCCTCATTCTCATCTCACCAGTCCTACTCCCACCAGAGCACACAAAGACCCATCAAGGGAATCTCCCCCATGACTCTGCAGAAAAATTAGTGAGCACTGTAGACCTGTTTATAGCCTCTACCTGCTTCTCTCCAGATGAAGGTAGAGGCACTCACCATAAGCAACAGGCGTGAGTTTGAGCACCGTATGTAGAGGGCACTTGAGATATGGGAGCTCATCTGGAAGGGAGGAAAAGCAGCCTTCAGGACAGGGTGCCTGACAGGGCACCACTCCCCCTTCTCACTCCCTCCCTCCAGATGCGCCTCCCAGGGTCTACTCTCCCACACTCTTCAGGGGGCAGGACTGAGGGCAGGGTGGGCAGGGAGGGAGCTCTCAGAGAGTGGGCTCCAGGGCAGGGGAGGGAGGGCCGTGGGAGGTCAGACAGACTGTGGGCCCCCAGGAGGGTCAGGCGGGCACCTGGAAGGGAGCCTGAGGCAGCCTCCACCTGCCCCAACACTGGCTTTCCACACACTCCTCCCTACCCCGCCAGAGGCCCAGCGGCACCCTAGCAGTGGTTTCTCAGCCCTTCTCTGCTCCAGGGCCGCTGGATGAGGCAACCTGCATCCTGGCAGCCTGTGTTCTGACTCCTCCTACACTTGCTCATGGAAGAACATTCCTGGGGTTTCATCCTAGGTCTTCAAGGCCTGTCACCAACCTCATGGGCTCCTGCCAAGTGAGTTTCCAGATTTCCTGAGCATCCTTCCTGCTCCTCCTCTGCATTTTTTGTCGTGGCAGTTGGGCCCAGGGCGTGGCTTTTTATGCACTCCTTTCCACCCCCACTGATACCCTGGTGGGTTACTGCTCCCAGGTGCACACTTGCAAACACTGGGACAAGAAAGGTGTCCGTCCTGAAGTCTCTGACCCGGCTCTGCCACTCCAGTGACAAGGGACCTGGGCCAGGCCTTTTGTCTTTCCATCCCTGGAGTTCCATCTCATGGCCACAGCTCACGTTGGGCCCAGATCCTGGGACACTCTGAGTCTCAGCCTCGTGGGCTCTCTGGGACTAGTGAGCAAGGGGCCTGGATGTTCATGCAAGCAGGTAGGTGGTGAGTAAGGAAGTGTACAAACAGGAGGTGCATGTGTGCCCCAAACTCCACACAGGTCTGAGAGGGAAGGGCCTCTGGAATGTGCCTGAGACGCATACTTCTCCCTGCCTTCCGAGCCCTGAGACCTTGGACAAGTCACTTTTCCTATCAGAGATGCCCTCTCCCCACCTGCAGTCAGGGATTCAGTGCCTGCCTTGTGGCTCAAAGGGTGGCTCTAGCAGTAGAGATGTAGAGGGTGTCAGAAATCTAGTAGCATGGAACCTCCACCCCCCACTCTATCACCTTGTTCAGTGAGAAGACTGAAGCCATGGCAGAGGAAATACTTGAACAAAATCAGGCCTCAGCTTCAGGCTTCCCATTCTAGATGACTCCATTTTACAAAAGCCCTTGGACGTAAGCATCATGGAGAAGATCCAAGTCTGCCGGACATTGTACACTTTGATGTGACTATGGACTGCCATGATTTTGCACTTCACACACCTACACAGTACCCCCATTTTACAGATGAGGAAACTGAGGCCAGGGCAGTTAAAGTAATTTGTCAAATCTAGTATGTGGGAGAATAAGAACTTGAATTCTGGCATTCATGTTCAGGATATTATACTTTTAAATACTAAGGTTTAAAACACCATTGCTGATATTAGGGTCTCAAATCACAGCTATCTCCTCCTGTTAGAACAGAGGGGAGAGTGGTACCTGAGCTCTTATCCAGGAAGTACGCCAAGAGACAGCGCATGACAGCCTGATGGCAGATCACCAGTACATTTTCTTGTCGTTCTAGCTCCATTATAACTGGTTCCAGGCGCTGAACTAGATCCTCATAAGACTAAAAATGAGAAAAATACTTTGTAAGAAAGGGCTATAAGCTATATTTGTCCAGAGAAAAAGAACTCTAAAATAGGGATCAGGAAATTTAGGTTCTGTTGCCAAAATGAACAAATTGTTGATATAGCAGTACAATCTTAGGCAATTTATTACTTAGGGTCATAGTTTCTCATATATTAAATGGGGGCAATCAATTTAGTGGACTGGACAACAATAATAAAATTTTCCATTACAAAATTCCTAGAAAATGAGAAAAAAATAGTCTTTTCATCTGTATTGCTGATCATTAAAAAAATAAACATTATGAACACAGGGTTCCAAAAATAAGGAAAAACTTGGAGGGAAATGAGTGTTAAATGAATGTAGAAGCCACAGCTGCCCTGGAGACATTTGTAAATCACACCAGCCAAAGTCCTGAGTTTTAAAAATCTTATAGAGTCAGGAGATAAAGCCTTAGGTGCACATGCTAGAAGTTGTTACTGAGATGCTACATAAATCTGAAACTCTCAAGTGACTACATTTTTAGTGAAATTGTAAACTAGAAAAATTATATATCTACAGGCAAAAGAAACAATATGAAAATATGTCTCCACTTGACTCTTGATGAAAAAATTTAAGAGAAACCTTCTGTAAGAATGTATAACCTCAAGTTTACCCTTGGTTTGTGTTTCAAATTTACGCTATTCATGTGTTTTACATAATGCTAAACTGATAGTTTAATATAAAATTATTTCAAGTAATTAGCTCTTAGGAGTGTCAGGATGAAGCAAATGGAATTTTTTTCTGGATTATCTCAACTCAAGCTGTATAGGACTTTCTCAGATGAAATTCTGATGAATAGAAGTTTGCATAACATGCAAGGAAAATAAACTGTAATGCATGAAAGTAAGCAGAAATATCAAGGGACATATCTAAATACTTAAGACAAAGGATCCACAGCATGCAACAACTTGTTTAGATTTTTTAAAGAAATAAACTATGGAATAAAATGTAAAGAAGATAAAAGGTGCCATCAAGTACATGATGTAAATGTGAAAAATAATTATAATTTCTGGAAATGAAAAATATGTTCATTAAAATTGCAAACTAAATACACAATAGATATGACTTAAATAGTGACTTGGTTTTCTTTTATTTTTTTTATAATATGATAGTTTATTTTTACATCATTTTGTATATATTTTTTTCATCTCAGTTGTAATCCCCGTGGGTTTCCCATCACCAGTGACTTGGTTTTCTTTAAAGTCATTTTTCAGAGCTGATAATAATTGCCTGATATATTTTGGCACTCCTTCATTTAGTGAGTATATGTTGATGAGTGTTATATCTTCCTGATGTATTCCCCCAGTAATCATAATGTAGTGACCATCTTTGTCTCTTTATTTTCTGTCTTTTGAAGTCTGTTTCATCTGATATAAGTATAGCTGCTCCTGCCTTCCTTTTAGGTCCATTTGCTTGTAGTATTGCTTTCTAACCTTTTATTTCCAGTCTATGTTTGTCTTTTGTGTTGTATTTCTTGTAGACAGCAAAAGGTTGGATTTTGTTTTATAATCCAACCTGCTATTCTGTGTCTTATTATTGATGAGTTAAGGCCATTTACATTAAGGGTTAATATCGATATGTGGTATCTATGTCTGCCACTTTGTTTCTTCTTGTGGATTTATTCCTTGCCTTAATCTGCTCTTCTTATTCATTCATCTGTTCTCATTTCAGGGCTTCCTGTAGTATTTTTTGGAGTGGGGGTTTAGTAATGGGCCTAAAAGACATCTATACGGACACTGCATCCAAAAAAATCTGAGTACACATTTTTTCTCAAGTGCACACAGATCATTCTCCAGAATTGATCACATACTGGGCCACAAGACAAAAATAAACAGATACAATAAGATCAAAATCATACCAACTATCTTTGCTGATCATAAAGTCATTAAACTAGAAATAAATCATGAAAAGAAAATGAACCCATCCATCTCATGGAGACTGAAGTACACTCTCCTGGAAGACCACTGGACTAATGAGGAAATCAAAGAAGAAATTAGAAAATACTTTGAGTTAAATGACAACAAAGATACCAAATTCCAAAATGTATGGGATGCAATAAAAGCAGTAATAAGAGGATGTATAGGCCCAGAAATATAAGCCCACATCAAGAAACAAGAAAGAAATCAAATGAACAACCTAAGCTCATACCTCATAGAACTAGAAAAAGAACAACAAAAAAACCTAAAGCCAGTAGAAGAAAGGAAATAAAAAAAATCAAAGGAGAAAT